GTGGTTTCTCCGTTCCCCCAGTGATCTCTAAATTGGATCCCTACCATCTTATTTCAATTGATCATATTTCAAATTTAAACAAAGTCGAGTTTATACTTACCTAACGTTAAGGTTGAGAAAAGGGCAACGCTACTTTTAAAAAATGACAATTTGTTCATTTTAGATTTTACAAAGCAGAAAAAAGCAAATGCGTTAAAGTGAAACAAAAAAGATTCTGTACTGTAAAAAGGACTCACACAGATAATAATATCATAATACAAATTACCAGAGATTAATAAAACTGGTAATACGCCAATGTAAATGGGGTAACTACACTGCATCTTCTATAGATACCAGAGTTATAACTCATGCCGCCGATGTATCTGCATGTAGAAATACGTGTAAAGTTACATGTAAAATTTGATCGTTTAAAACGACTTTCTTATTCAGTACACTTTTGCGTACATTTTTAATGTAAGTGACTTTTTAGAACCATTGATTGTCTCGAGAATGGTTGTATGCGAAAAAGTTTCCTAGCCACATAGGAATGAGAGATTTTGTAGGACCATTAATTTAATAAACTTATCACTGACCCCTCTTGTGCCCCGACCCCGAAGGCCTTTAATGCTGTAATCCCAAAATAGACAATTTAATTGTACAAAAATCGCATGTCTATATCAGCTTAATTGAAGGGTAATTTGATAAGATTAAGCCCAACTTTCCTTTGAAAAAATGCGCCAAACAAAAATGTAATGAATCTCGAGCAATGAAACCAAAAGTATAAAATAATTGTAAACAATTCAAATTATGTTTAATGACCATTCTGATAATAGTGTGTAATAATAAATACGATATCAGCGGCCGTATATCTTAAATTCGTCACCTACGCGGATTTGGCTTTTATCTTCAAATGTAATAAGCTGCAATGAGACTTGAGTATGCCACAAACTATATTGAGCTATTCAATTTAAAAAAACTGATCGTTGAGAATGATTTTCAGAGAAGGTCAAATTTCAATACTGAAATGGGAAAGGAAGCACCTATACTTTAATATTCCGCAATTGCTTAACATAAAAAACAAGTAAAAACTGTAATGTAAACGATTTACGTAAAGGGTATTGCAATCGTGTATAATTTCGTATTTTAATGAGATAATTTACTTAGCAGTGAGTTTTATTTCCAAAAAATTACTTCATCACGTCAAGATAAAACCGTTGTCATGTCAGTGAAAATAACGATTATGAGACCTTTAAGTTCAGCTAGTCAAACCAAAGAGTTTCCATGTTTTCCGAATGAAATCGGAAATCAGTTCATACTCAAAATGAAATATATAAAATTAACTTAAAGCGTTTCGACGTTTTTCGAACGACGTCAGTGCGCATCTTAATTGAAATGCGCTAAAAATGTGTCTTCTTATGTTAACAATATTGGATAAAGCTTGTCTAATAAAAGGTTTAAGGTTAAATTAAACCCAGAAGTCATTCCCAAAGTTCGATATACTTTTACATTAATATTTGTCAGCGGTTATCTCTACTAATCCTCACCAATTCTCTAAATGTAAATTAACTACAGTTTAAATCCATACAGGGGGTTGTTGGGTCATTCGTTGGCTTGGATTTTAAGGCGTACTTAATTATTAAAGCTCTGATTTACGACGACGCTAATTGTCAAAGGTAAGAATCCGGGAATAGTAACTAATGCTTGTTACGTGCTTATCTATTTTTAGGTGACTAACCGTTTATCACGAGAGCTAATATTTTTGAATGTAGATAAAGAAAACCATTAAAAAAATATAAAAATAGATATATAAAAAACACAGAGTGGTTGCATTTCTGGGTGCAACATATAGAAAATTTCTATTGTATTCTCGTCGAATCTGCTATTGGGTTTTTCGTTTTAATTGGCAATTATGATAGAAAACAATTAAAGCGGATAGAGTAACAATCGAGACAATGAACACCGACAAATACCAATCGAATCAATTTGAAAAACTCAATTTTCATTGTTCAGCACCAGTGGCGTACATATACTCATGCCATATTAATGAGACAAAGTGGTGTAAATATTGCGATGTTATCGTTTATTTTATTGTAGAAGTGCAACACTTAGATTTTAGTACTCGACAAGGCCACGTAATGAAAGATTAACTTATTTAGCACTCTAGGCATAGATATCGGTAGTGAATGAAATAACACTACACTCCCCTCCACCGTTTTTGTAGTACCTATATCTACCTATCTAAAACGAAAAAATGAGTATATACAGAGCGGTCCAATATGAACTCGTTGCATGTGAACTTGTGAACTGTGGTCCCTATTCTTGAATTTCTGCGCAGGGAACGTTCTCGGGAAACTAGCTCACTTTCACTTCCGGTACATTATATATTATAGTGTTGGAAGTGGTCCCAGTCGGTTCCTGCACTACGACCTTTTGCTCCCTGGAATTGTCCATTCTTCCAGAATACCTTTAACAGTCCAGGATTTTGATAGGGCAAACCCTTGTTACTTTCTCTTGTCTATTTTTTCATTTCCGAGTAGGTGTTCCCTTATCGGAACTTATTGGGGTTTCCAAAAAGAGCTGGCGATCAATGCTTGCAGTACCAGTTTTGCCCGAAGCTCCTTATTGGCTGTGTTATATGTAATTAATAATTTATAACATTAATATTATAATTATACAGACCACCAGTGACTCGTATCCTCCCCAGAATCCCTGCTTTCTGTGGTCCCTGAAGTATGCTTCGATCTTTTCCTCCATATTGGCATATTGTTCATACCGGGGTTCTAATTCCACTACGTTTCCTATCAGCTGTGGGTAGAAATCTTCCAGGTTTTCTTATTAATTTGGGTGCGTAGAATCCAAATCAATTCGTACTTTTTCGATCAGACTTCTCAATCAAAAGTTATAGACGAGAAACCAATTTCGAAAAAAAATTCAAAGGGCTGTAACTTTTGAACTAGTAGCCCAATCTTGGAACTGTTTGAAATTATGGATTCTACAGGCCACATTCTATAAGAAAATTTTTGTTCCGGGTCGATCTGAGACAATTTTTTTTTTCGGGCCTCAAAAAAAGGCAGTGTATAACCTTCCTTTTTTACCAAAAATCGACTACACCAAAATTTCTCGGGAAAACACTTTCTCTTATTAATTTTGGTGCGTATAATCCAAAACAATTCGTACTTTTTCGATTAGACTTCTCAATCAAAAGTTATAGACTAGAAACTAGGGAATGCAATACTGGGATTGCGGGATCCCGAAATACCGGGATTCCGCAGCATTTTTGCGGGATTAATCCAGCAGATAAATGGAGCGGGATCCCGCGGGATTTGCGGGACTGAGGAATTGTCGACCAAAGGGTCGACTCTCTGTAATTGTTAAACTTTTTTCGTTAAAAATGTACCTACTATGATTTTTGAGGCACTTTAGAAGTTCACCTTTTTTTTTAGTTCTAAGTTAGGCTGAAGGTACTTTTTTGTGAAATATTGTGATAATTAGAGATTTATTTTAATACAGAAGTTAACCGCACAGAATTGCTTATTTGCAAATTTATTTAAAGTTTTGCGGGATTCCGCAAATACCGGGATTCTGCGGGATTAACATCTAACAATCCTGCAAATACCGGGATTGAGATTTTGCTGCGGGATTGCATTCCCTACTTGCGCCCAATTACAGAGTGACCCGCATAATGCTTTTTAGAGGTGCCTCTGCAGAAGGTCTTAAGTTTTTCTATACTACTCCGGGTATTTACCTTAAGGCCGTATTAGACGATATCATTTTTATTGCAATTCTTGCAGTAATCCATTGCCGCAAGAAATTTCTCCGTGTATTGTCAAAATTTCACGTGCAAGTTCTTGTTGCAATAATTGCTGCAATGAATTGCTGCAATTTTCTTGTTTAGAACTGGTGCTGTTTTTCTTACAATTTAGTAATTATTTTAGTAAGATTAATTTTTATTTTAATTTAAGTGGTATGCACTAGAGAACATTTCCTCCCTAGCCATAATCAGGTTTGTAACTTAGAAGTCACGTAACTCATTATTTTATTAATATGAGCAATTCAAAAATTAATATTGCTGCAGTATCGCTAATTATTGCTTCTGCTGTTACTCTCTTTAAAAAAAAGAAACAAAGGAGACAACGATGCTTTTGGACCAGGCAGTGGCTTGCCAATCATGCACCCTCAAAGGGAAACCTAAATTTTCTCAACGAATTATAACCATATCGTATCGTATCGTATGGGCGGTACTCTCTAGGTACAGAGTTTTCAGATCGCATCAACAGTCGTCTTTGTGACTTACGACAGTCGTAGTATGACTGCCGCGACCGCCAGCTTTACATGCTCTCCGAAGCATAGTAGTCAGGAGATGGTCTGTACCAATAAAAATTGGCAAGTTATGGGATTCGAACTCACAACCTGTGAGGATAAGAGTCCGAGTTAAACCGCTACGCCAAACATATTAGAACCGACATTAGAACTATATAAGAATGGATGGATGAATGAGTTTCTTACTAGTCCAAAAGAACTTGAATAGGGCAAGTTCTAATAGAACCAACCCCTTAATTACTTAAATGTAATCGCATATAACTCGGAAGTGGCAAAACTGAACTTGAACCCTAAATTTCTTATACTTTGGCATATACCTGGCGTAGCCGCCTCTCCCAGAATTTAGTCAGCTATCGTGTGGATGGCTCCCTGGTAGGAACTGCCATGCATCTCCACCACTTTGGTTACCATTGCGCTGGGGCGCGAAATATGCCAAATAACATGGCGGATTTACTGGATTGGGGAGGCGGGGGGGGGGGCTAACTGGGTATTATCCGACCCGAAAGGGTACGGCCACAGAGATATGGGTCCCCGTAAACGGCTAACCGGCGGTTCTGGTGAATCTCCCTGTATACGGAGTAGGTACTCATCGAGATACTCCTGGGCTATAAAATACTGATAAGATAAGTAACAACTATTTATGTACAATTAAAGTACCTACTCTAAACAAGAGTAATTAATTCGCTTTAGAAACGTTATAAACATAATCCAGTGACAAGTGATATACAACAATGCAGTTGTTATTACCAAGATCTTGTGGGAAAGATCATCAACTTCCCCAGATCGCTATTACATTACTAGGTAAATTTGATTCCAAGTTAACATTACAAATTCAGAGGTTTAGTTCATTGACAGTATTAATTGCTTTGAATAGTCATTGAATACTATACTTCAATATACATTAGGCATAATCACAATGATTTTATGAGCGTGTTTGCGCCGTTTATAACAATTTCGTAATGATAATGTTTCTTTTTTTTTGTTTTTTGCAAAGAGAAAAACTGCTATTAACTAATAATAAATTATGATCATCAATGTGACCTTCTGCACATTCGTTTCGATACCGAGGTGAGAGAAACGTTTAATGGTGATCCACCCTCACCATTAAAATTTAATAACTCTGGAGCTGGTTCATTTATTCTTTATTTTTCGTAATAGGGCGCCAAAAGGGCACTCTGTCTTAGTCAAAGTCTGTCCTATTTAAATGTGACCACGTTGCCAGGAGTTGTTATAAATAAAACCATAATTTTATTGCAAACAAGCATTATTAGTATACTCTGAATTTGTAGTAGGTGTTTTGGCTGATTTCTTAATTTCTATAATATTTTTCAGTGTCTTTAACAAGTTTATCGTGTGGATTATTATACGCATGGACCTCTCCATCAATTCCGAAACTGGTTAACGATCCATCGCTGGACATCTCCCTAGATGAGGCTTCCTACTTCACTGTGATACATCCACTTTCAATGGGAGTTTTCTCGGTACTTCAACTGAAAGTTATTGACAAAGTCGGTCGTAAGCTGGCCATCATTGCAACTATCATTCCGCAACTAGTTTCGTGGTTATTGATTGCTTTCGCGCAACGTATAGAATTATTTTACCTGTCGAGAGTTATGGCCGGGATCGCGGACGCAGGGGCGTTTAGCACCATCACAATATATGTGTGCGAAATATCGGAAGCGAAAGTGAGAGATACTTGGAATAATGCTATCTCAGTAAGTCTTTATTTGGGTGTGCTTCTGGTGAATGTTGTTGGTTCCTACTTCAGCATTACAGACACTGCCTTAATGTTCGCGTGTATTCCAATAATACAAATCGCGCTCTTTATTTTTGCACCAGAATCACCTTACTATTTATTGGCGCGACATCGAACAGAGGAAGCGAGATGCAGTTTACAGTTGCTCCGTTGGAGAAGTGATGTAGATGAAGAAATGGAGCAACTCGAGGCTGATGTCCAAAGGCAAATTTCGGAATCTTGCCGATTTATTGACATAGTTTCAGTGAAAAGTCACCGAAAAGCTTTTGTTATTTGTTTAGCTATACGAACCATACAACAATTTAGTGGACTTTCGGCAATAGAATCGCACACTCAGTATATGTTTGCGAATGCGGGGGTTGGAATATCGGAATCACTTTCTTCGATCATTTTCGCTGCTGTTTTAATGGTCACTGTCACTATATCCTGGTTTGTGATGGATAAATTTCGTCGCAAATCGCTGTTGCTGGTCTCATGCTTTGGCTCGGCATTCTGCCTAGGAATCGACTGTATTTACTTAGGTATACGTAATTTCACTGACCTGGATTTGTCTTCAGTCAGTTGGATTTCATTATCGTCCATTATTGCGTATACTTTAATATTTGGGTTTGGTTTAGCAACTCTTCCCACCTCCATTGTAGGTGAAATGTTTTCATCGAGTGTTAAAGCGAAGGCGTCTTTCTTACTTAACTTATGTTTTGCTCTTCAGATGTTACTAATACCTAAATTGTTCCATCTTGTAACAGAGAATTTTGACCTTTTTTATTCTTTTAGTTTTTTTGCAATTTCCGCTACACTCGGTGGTGTCTTTTGCTGTTACTGTATTATTGAAACTAAAGGAAAAACTTTGGAGGAAATTCAACAAGCTTTAAAAGGCGATTTGCCTATCAAATCCGAGATCAAACCTTAACAAAAAGAAACTCGTGATCATTACGTACTCGCCAAACTTTAGATTTTGTAAATATCAGTTGTTTAGTGATAATTTGTAATTTATAAATAATTATAGTAAATGTGATAGTGATGATACGGCACTGGTATCAAAATCAGAGTAGGCTATAATCACAGTTATAACAACATTTATTATACAAGACGATAAAGCATCGATTGAATTACCTTCAAGTTAACATTTTTTCATCTTCTATAATACAGAACTTTATTTTATAGCAGAAGCCATATAAATCATTATAAAGGGTCTGAAAATTCTGAATGTAATTCGTCAAAAATAGCAAGATTTTATGCTCCCTCGTCGTTTCCATGGAAACTATATTGTTTTTGGTTTTGAACTTCTTTTTATTTCGCCCTCCGCGTCCCACCCCCAGAATTAGTGATATGGTTGTTCAGATTCCGTATAGATCGTTTATTTACAATTAAAAACTCGCAAATAAGCAACTAATTTTACAACTTAAGAAAACAAGAAACTAAATGGTTTGCGACACAGTAATTGTTTATACGGTGTGCAATCTCAGAATAATCTTTGAACAGATTAATTAAGTAATAAGTTAGGATAACAGTTATTGCATGGATTAGGTTACAATATCAATACTGTGCGATTTCGGTGCATATGAATGGATCAGTAGATTAATGCACATATATGAAATTACCATGTTACAATATTGTTTAGATATACGTAAGAAAACCAACTGTACCTATATAAACTCAAGACTGATTAGGAATAAATTAGTATTTACCGAATGCGTTTACTCATTTCGGATGTAAGGTTTCCAGTCTACAATTTCTATAGAAGTGACGGTCTACCGTCTTAGTTCATGACTAAATACACAGAATTTGGTTGTGTAAGAGTAATATTAACAGAAATAAAAATTTACGTTTTGATTAGCTTCATATGGAGTCGAAAGAAAGGACTATCTTTTTAAACTTGTAAAGAAAGCGTGCGGGTCGATGGTCAAAGACACCCGTTGGCAGACGAAAGATGGGAAAATGTGAAATGCAACCCGGGATTTGTTCATTATATTCAGTTCGAATGCATCTTAGAAATACTGCAAAGGTAATATCTTTTCATTTATATTAAATAAACCCCTAAAGCAGATCTAAAAAAGCGACTAAGCACCTCGGTTCGAACCGAATAGGCGTGACCCCACGGGGTCATTGGATTTGACCCATTTTCAATAGACTTGTTACATGTAGGATGTAGGTTAAGTTTGAAAAGAATCGGTCCAAGTGTTCGGCAGTTATAGGACGGACAGATGGTCACCATCGACTCCCCTATAAAGCTTACTTTGCTTTGCTCTGCCCCTTAATTATTAAAATGAATATATAATTTAATATCGCTTTTGTTTATAAGCCTGTTACGTTTACACAAATGTAACAAAATTACACACGATAAGCTCAGGCAAGGTCAAGGTGAATAACGGGGCTCTTATGCACTAGCAAAAATAAAGCAAAAAGGAAATGTAGTAATAGTAAACCGGATAGGCCTCACTTAGTCTTTCAAAAGAGAAAAAAGAATAATAACGAAAAATATAATCCAGAATAGAAGACGATTAGAACTTAAGAGAAAACTGTAAGCAAAGTTTGAGGGAAGATAAAGAGTCAAAATCTTTACGTACCTCACATTGATCACTTGAAAATACAAATCCGCAAAAAGCCTTTCAATGGAGCACAGTTACAGAACATCAGAAAGCGAAAGATAACCACTCCAAAGAATAGCTAAAACCAAAAGCCCTTATTCAAAAATAATTTACAACTAACCAATATAAAGCAAAATCTTCACTGTGCGAAAGGAACGAAATACGTATGCAGTAAAGATATCACGACCTCTAGCGGCGAAAGAAAAAAACACAACGTAAAAGAAAACCTGTAACGCTCGAATGATCTCTAACGGTGAAATAAAGAACTAAAGTAATAACTCTTTGACGCTCCAAAAAAATCAAAACTGTGTTTAGGGACGTCATTTGCAGAGATACTAAAGCAACAAGTGCGTGCTACACTCGAAGCCTTCTCCATATCACAATAGATTGCTGTACTGTAGCGTGGGTGTGGGCCACCCTACCAAAGGAACCTTTCCCCTTATATTTCAAAATTTAGGAAATGTAACACAAATCAACCACCCACCATGGTAAAGGGGATCACTCGTAAGTTAAAAAAAAATTAATCACGGCCTGTTCCAACCACACTCAACTACGGTTCACAGACTGACGGGATTGGGACAGGACCGTCTCCTGGTTTGTGATGGGCCCAGAGAAGTCACACTAGAATACCCAATAACGTTTCATACAATACTTTTACTGCATGCATAGTAAATCTAATAAACAGAAGCTCAGAGGTATAAATAGCAGGGCTTTAAATTCCCAACAGCGAATTCGTTGGGAATTAAAATCTTTGTAGCTTCCTTGTATGGTTCAGCTTCAGCGCCATCCAGTTTCGTATAGATGCTAACTTTCCCTGTATAAAACTGATAAAATGCAAAGTACCAATGAAATGAACTAAGGCATTTTTCTTCAACGACAAACAATTTCACTTCAAAGACCCATATATCAAAACTATTAAGTTAAAATTGAACTTAACCCCAATGTATCCCAAACGAAATAATCCCCCTTAATTCGATCGTGATCGATAATATAGTAAGCATTTAATCCACCCTTAACCTTTGTACTAAATAATGCAAAATAAGTAAACGTAGCGAGAATGTAAATAGATAGCAAACGGACCTTTCAATGCTATTGAAGAATCTTCTATCGGAGGGAGCTCTGTCCAGCCGATTCCTAAAACAAACAATTACAAACTAAAGCATGTACTCCTAATCTACACACTCGGCATTAATAGTTGACTTGGCTGGAAGAGCTTGCATTCGCTTGTGAAATCCAAAATCGGAACGTAACATAAATGCAGATTGATACTCCGAAGGAGACTAAAATGTCCAATTAGAATATTACAGCAAAAGAAAATTCGAGCAAAGATTAACAGTTAAATTAATGCTAATAACATGTCCTTGAAGAGGCGACCAGCAATGAGTGAACAAATGATGTCGTCGTTGAAATGTGCCTTGAAGAGGGCACTATCCAATTATTACTAAATTATTTTAATCCCAGAGTAAGTAGGTATTCGGGTTGACCCAACTAAATGTTGACCTTACCTTTTTACGACACGGACGCCGTCAGGTATAACCGCTGTCTTGATAAACCTTGTAATTAACGTGGATGTAAGGTTAAATAGGGAATGTCCGCTACGTTAAATTAAAACCGGAAACCAAGTGAGGAATCCACAAAATAAGTGAATCAGATCATTACGTTTTTATTTCTAGGTTTAGAAATACTATTTTGTAGAATCCTTTTTGAAAGTATGTCGAATTCTTGAGGTTTGAGCTTTTGATACGGTGCGCGGCGTCTGAAAACGTTTCTGAAGTATCTAGGAATAATTTATGATATCGTATGTGATTCCCTCTTATAAATTGAGAATGTAAAAATAAATCGGCTGCAGCATTCACAGTTAAATTTACATGCACGAATAGGTTGACGTAGTTGAATTACAAAATCTTAAAGTGTTTGTTGTGATTTTTGATAAACAAAAATGTATGTCTTTCTAGCGAGACATATTTCCTTGTTACTATTTTTAGATTGTTTTGGCGCTACAGTATGTTTTAATAATTCAAAGTATTCTGGACCTGTTTTTGGTGTATTTTTGTCTATCAATAAACCATTCATAGAAAAGAAATTATCGAACCTTTCTTTGAATTGATGAGCGTTTCTTTATGTTTATCATAAGTTCGTTCTCGTTGTACACTAATGCAACAAAGTGTAGAATTGAGCGTCCTCCTTGCAGTGTATAGTTTAATATAAATATAAGTGAAAACACCAAGACTGATGAACAAAGATCATACCTAGAGTACGGTTCCAACGCCGCCAAGCCACCGCCGTATCGCTGGAGAAGTTTTTGGCAGCACGTTTGAGAACGAGTTACTTGAATATTCCCACGGCAGAACATAGCCCTGTTACCGGGCAGGAGTTGGCTGTTGGTGCTGCTTATAAACAATTCGCCGTCGACGCGTCTGGCGTTGTGGTCAATGGGGCCCTCGCCTGGTAGTCTTGCCCCCCCCCCTTGTAAGGGAGTTGCAACGGTGGGTTCCTCTTTCAACGGGAGGTTGGTCAAGTACAGGGGGAGATTGATTGGGTGCTCGACGTAGGTCGTGTATATGGACCTTTACGAACTCTTCACTAAGGTTTGTACCCCGAAACGGCATTTGTCGATGGACTAACGGAGTCGGTGGCGTAATAGACGCTCCAGAACGAGGTCTAGGTGTCTGAGGTGCTCTTCCCAGGGATCGAAGTAGACGCTTATGTCATCCAGGTACACCATGACAAATTCTCGTAAATATCCGGCGAGGACCTCTGCTGACAAGTTGCCGGTGCATTTTTGAGTTCGAAGGGCATTATCTTAAATTGGTCGCTCGCACCGTCAGGGGTGGAAAACGCGATGAGATACATGGACTCTGCCTCGAGCGGTAGGATTTAAGATACAGAGTGGAAAAAACTCCCCAGAGTTCAGACGTCCATAATCGATACAGAATCTCGGGCGGCCGTCCTTTTTCTGTGTCATTAAGATGGGCGAGCAGTATTCCGACGTACTTGGTTCGATCACTTACTCTGCTAGCATGGCTTCCACTTCTTCCTCGATAATTTTCTCCTTGTTTCGCGAGCGAGGGTACGACGGGAGTTGCAGTAACCGGATGCAGTGTGTGGTGGACGCTGTGTGTTGTGGGAATTGCATTGTCGATGAGCGTGCTCCCGAAAACCTCCAGGAGTGTGATCATGCGTTGATCTAGCGGTGGCCAGAAGCCGTGGTGAATTCCGGCGAAGTCTACTGTGTCGTCGGCCTTTGGACTATTACTCAGGACCTGGTCCCAGTGTTTCGTTTGGCCCCTTTTCGTTCCCCAGTGAAGGCAACCATGCCCCAATATCACAGGTACGGCGAGGTTTGGAGTTACTAAGAAGTTGTCCGATCCTAACTGGTGGCTGAGAGTGTACTGGACCCAGGCTGGTGGTTGCTGCGGAGTCCAAGAGGGCTCTCACGTCTTTCCCGTATATTATGACCGACAGCGTTGGTAGATTGGTTTGGGTTGCAGTGCAAATGAGATGGACGGCCGGGTGTTGCTCCCGACCACTATCCTGTTTCCCTGGTCTCGGCGGCTTGCCAAAACTAGGTAGTCGCGGTGAAAGTGGTATTCTGGACAGTGGTAGCACCTTGGCGTGCTAGGCGGTCTGTTGGAGTCTGCAGGTGTGATGATATTGGTGGAGTGTTTCGGACCAGCGTCTTGTTGCAGTTCTCGATTTTTTCGGTGAGGCGTACCAAGTCGAGTAGTGGCGTGGGCGTGGTTAATAAGGACTGCCGGATGCGATGTAGCAGGTCCTTCACAAACTCGAGGTGTTCGTTAATCAGGCCCTTATTTAACTGAGCATTCCTTTGGAGGAACAGTTGTGGGACTCCATATTCTGCTCTCGACCGAAGAATTCCGAATGGATTTTGCCCAAATCTTGCTGCTGTCGTACTCCTTACGGATGTAGTCCTTCAGGTCAGTCTAAGTCGGCGATAATGCTTCATATCCGTTCCATCATTTCGCGAGATCTCCTCTAAGTTACGCTGTAGCCGTCTTCAGTGTTTCCGTCGGGTCGGTAGTGTGAATTTCGCTTTCGAGGGTGCTGAAGAAAAGGTGGTTTTTCTTCGATATAAATTATAT